CTCATATTTTTTGTGTGTGTGCAAAATGAACTTATTATACGATTTTAGTGATGAAAGCGATAATGAAATCACATTAAAAAGGAGAAGACTATTTAGGCCACGTCTGGAATATAAATTCCTGGAATCCACGTTGGAGCGTTTTATGCTAAAACATGAAAAATTTGTTTTGTTGTTAAATTTGTTGTGTCCAATACTGGAGAGGAAGACAAGTAGAAGCCATTCTCTAACGGTGCAACAGCAGCTGCTGATTACGTTACGCTGGCTAGGAACAGGAACCACTTGCCATGCAATAGGTGACTTGCATGGTGTGAGCAAAGCCACTGTGTGCAGAGTGGTAAAAAGCGTAGTTACTGCAATAAATACCGCCTTGTTTGCAACGTATGTAAGATGGTCAGAAAACGTGGATCAAGTGGTTACTAAATTCTACGCCGTCGGAGGCATACCGTTAGTTTGCGTCCAATTCAGAATGGAATCATTCTAAGTGATTCAGCATATCCGCTGATTCCTCCACTATCTAGTAATAGAAGATTCCTCAATGGCCATAAATCAACCAGAAGAGTTGTGGAAAATGCAATTGGTATTTTAAAGGAAAAATTTCCCATTTTAAATTATTTGCGGGTGAGCCCAGAAATAGCCAGCGATGTTTTTACTTGTGCGGTCACACTTTGCAATTTTTCACGCACTGAAGAAGATGAAAACTACACAATTACTAACCTTAGTGACTCTGATAATGTAGAAGAAGACTGCCCACCATAAAAGACATTAGAGGCCAAGCCAGGCTACAAACTAATTTAAATTATTTTAATTAATTTACAAATATGAAAAATATTAATAAAAAAAGTATAAAGAACAAAAAGTTGTAACTAAAAAAATAATGGGGGTGTACGCCCATTTTTTCTCCAAAATTTTAATCTGAAGAGCTTTATTTTTCAAGTGAAAATTTTTATTCTGCAGCTTCAAGTTTTCGATCTGGCACTCCACCTTTTCATCCATCTTCAATTTTTTAATTTCTGCTTCCCCGTGGGCGGAAGAACCATTTTCCATACATCGCTCTAAATTAAAAAAAAGATAAGACAAATTTTAAATATAATTTAATGGTACTCACTTCTTTTTCGGGAGCTCTCAG